CATTTTGGATGGTAACGGACCTCTTCATCTGCCGGTGGTTAAAAAAGTTTCAGATCTCGGAGTCATTTGTCATTTAGCGATTGATTTATCATCATTTGGTTTTTGCGTACGTTCTCATAGGTTCACGTGTTTACATTCAGTTCAATTCTGTTGTTACTGTTTTTGCTAATTTTATCTGATAAATTTTTATTTTTATGTTTTTGTTTGGCAAGGGGCTATGCCCGTGCCACTTAAAATTATAACAATAATGACATCAGTGAATTTTTATCCGAAAAGCGAGTTTCTGAACGTTATATTGATTGTGAACATTAACTTTTATCAGTAAAATTAATTAACGTTGATTTTTGATTAATTAATTAATTATTGTTTGTTTTGTAAATAAATAAATTGATAACTTGAGAATATATTACCTTTTTTTTCACTGTGATTAAACGAACCTGTTATCAATCAGACATTGGTGTCAGACGTTGGATCTTTGGTGGAAAATAAGTGAAAATCGTTGTTAAAAATTTTAATTTTTTTTGTCGACAAGTTAAATTTGCCGTTATCGTTATTTTTCGTACATCTTCTTGCGCTTTCTCTTTCAGTCAACTGCAGTATTTGCAACCTGGTAAACCAGTCAATAAGTATGGGCATCTGCATTGTTGTACAAGGTTTCTTTACTTTGATGCAGCCTAAAGATTTTATTCACAGTACTGGGATGTCAAATCTACTAACCCGCCTTCTTGTTTACGCCATGTTGCTGCACAATGACGACAGTAATTGTCTCCAAGACGTTGTTTACAATCTCTTCGTAAATGTCTTTTTCGTCGCAATTTCAGTATTTTGCCACACCACAAACTTGACCCTTCTGTTCTACAACCATTCTTTGACACGAACATTCTTAACAATATTGGCGCAGCTTTTCGTCAGATTCGAATGTAATACTGCAAGCAACGGTATCATTGAGGTTGCATTTGTCAGCTAGTATTCCTTGTGTAAGTTGATCCATTTCGCGAGATAGCCCAATAAATTTTTGATCAAATTTCTGTTCAATCTGGTTTTCTATTTTTGCGTTCATTACGGTATGGCAGATTGTTGTTCAGTTTCGACATCGAATTTTTCTCTGAGTTTCCTTAATTGTTATTCAATTTAGGCACGTCTTTATACACCCAATATTCTGCACGTCTTTATATACCCCCTTCTGTCGACGCCTCTTGAACGTACCAGATATCTCGCTGTCAGAATGTTTTAAATTATTATTTATTCTAGTAGCGACACTAGCGCCTTCAGCAAATATACTTGTTGACGGTTATATGTTATCATTGACTAAAAAAATTGATTTGCCATATGAAACGTCATCAAAGTCAAGATAAGCAGTAAAAATGGGAACAAAGATACAATAGAACTCAGTTTTTGTTATAACATGCCATCTAGTCACGTTGTTACATGATGGTCTTGTTTGAATGAAGCAATGTTTTCTCGGTTAACAAATTTGAATTAAGATATGTTCAGAGTCAGTTTGTAGAAATTCATTTGAATTGCATTGCTGTGCAGTAACAGTCAGAGTTATTGATTTGTGTTGAACTCTAACTACAGTTTGGCTACAAACAATATCACTTTAAAATAACAGCAATTAAGATTCTCGACCAAACAATTTTATTTATAGGTATTATGATAATTAGATTTGACTAAATTGTTTCGATTGGTGCAAAATTAAAAAGATGTACCTAACCTTTTAGTTTTTAATTCATAGTGATCAATATTTATTCGTAAATTAATTGTACAGGAAGTGTATCAATCTAAAATCTTTCAATCGATTATTTTAAAATTTATTAAACTAAATAAATGTTATTTGAAAGTAATTTTTTGTTTAAACAAAATCATTTGATTACTATGAAAAACTGGGAAACTATAATTTTCAGCTAAAAAAAACGCTGCTCTTTCTAATGTTCACACTTCGTCATAAAAAACCTTTTAAATAATTGCGTTTTCTTTTTTTTAATTTATACCTTGAATAGATAATTATTTTTATCATCCACCACTGTCATTATTTTAGATGTTGTTGCTGAAAAAATTAACAAGATTTTTAACTCTACACTAACTCGATGAGTTTATTAAATTTTGCAAAACAAAAACATTCATTTATATAATATAATATAAGGTCATAATTAATGCAGTAATATATGAAATGTACCAAATTTTTAGCGTTGGATAGTATTTATTAATAAGAATATTTTATTGAAAAATGTAATAAAAAACTATCCAACGCTAAAAATTCGGTAGATTTCATAAATCACTGCATATATATATATAAATATATATATATATATATATATATATATATATATATATATATATATATATTCAAAATTCAATTCAAAAATAGCTTTATTCAGCAAAATAATTGAATTGTATATATATATATATATATATATATATATATATATATATATATATATATATATATATATATGGGTGTGTGGTGGGGGGGTAAAAATTTTCGACCTGCTCCCGCAAGTACGGTTGGCCAGTACGAGTACATAAAGTACACCATCTCTCACCACGATCAAAATCGTTCTAGGCTAGACGCGTTTCGTCCCTTATAGGACTCATCAGTAGCCAAAAATTAAACACCAACTTAATACAATTACTATCTCAGTAGACAATATTGCAAACTAAGATGATTTTAAGTAATATACAGAAATAAATTTTGGTCGATAGAGACGTACTGTTACTCTGCCGAATAAAGAAAATAGTGAGTCGACTTGAATCCAAAAGTACGTGTGTATATAAAGGATGAGAATTTCCGACCTGTACTAAAATAAGTAATTGCCCTAAATTGGTGTTTAAACTCGGGTTTGTCAGTTCTTAAGGCAATAATAATAATTGAGCTATGAGTATATCAGCAAAATTTGAATTAATTCTGAAACGTTTTTTAATAAATACAATTTAAAATTGTTGGTAAGAATAAATTCTAACCAAAAATTTTTTTAACCAAGGATTTCAAATAGCTCGCAACCTTAGTAATTATCACAACTTTCTAACAAAGGTTAATTGCATATTATAAGTAAGGGTAGGTAATACTTACTAAGGTTAATTGCATATTATAAGTAAAGGTAGGTAATACTTACTAACAATGGTTAAATGCACAACTTTCAAACAGGGGTTAATACCGCAACATACTAACAAATGATAATAGCTTACCAGCAAAGAAGTTATTTTAGTCTTTGGCTGAAAAAATTCTTGGCTAGAATAAAAAACTACTTTTCAGAATTAATTCAAGCTTAACCCATATATTCATAACGTCATTATTATTGCAATCTTGAAAACTGACATGCCCTAGATGTTAAGTTAAATTTTTATTCATTAAAAACAATTTTCCATGTTTTTTGCAAAATTTTTTACAGAAAAACTACTTCTCGGAAATTGATAAAACTTGAATGGAGAAATCGCCCCTCCACCGGTAACTACGTCACAACGAGTAATGACATCGCCATTTGTGTCGTTTTATTGAGAGAGAGAGAGAAATTAAAATAGATTTTGTAATTGTTTATTTTAATTTTACAGATTCAATTAAATGAAACGAATTCCACCTACCTACAGAACCGCCTAAAACAAGTCTACCAAATTGTTAACTCAAATTAAAAAAAAACGCAACTTACCTAGAGAGCTGCTTGAAGCAGGCTCATTCAATTAAAAGGAACGCGACCTATTTAGAGAGCTACCAGAAGCATGCTCATTCAAGTAAAAGGAACACGACCTACTTATGGAGCTGCCTGAAGCAGGCTCATTCAATTAAAAGGAGCGTGACCTACCTGGAGAGCTGCCTGAAGTAGGCTTAGTCAATTAAATGGAACGTGGCCTACCAAGAGAGCTCAACATTAATTATCAATTATATTTGACCTAGTAAAGACAGACAAACATTACAACTATACAACACTTTAGTCTAATCACTGCATGTGATAAGGGTACATTTTCAATGAAACAGTTTTGACACCGAGTCCACAACTTATCAGCGCTTTCATTACAACAAAATAAACATTCATTTGTCATGTCATCGGAATAAGCAATCACATCATCAAATATGTTTTAACTAAATTTTATTGGATCAAATTTTATTCAATCGGTTTGCTTTTATCTAACGTGAGCATGACCATGTAGATGAAAATTCCACAGTCCTGGCTATCCATCTGCTTCGGCAGTTCGCGTACTTAAGTCATACTTTTCCCAATGTTGTTTGTTAATTTTTTGCCACACACGCTTAAAAATTTTCAGAATAAAAAGTTTTTTTTCGTTTGTTTTCATATATATACATGTGTGAGTATGTATGTGCATTTAAAGAGCATGGCTAAGTCTCTCTGGGTTCCACGTTGATAAAGCCAAGCAAGCAGCTTCTACTAATTACTTCAGTAGATTTGAATAAAGAAAATTGTTTCAATATATACATGTCTATACATACACATATATACATGCATGTATATGTAAATGTGTGTGCATATTTGTATTACACAAAACGTATGTGTGAAGTGTATCTATCATTGAACAAACAAGGAATCCACAAAATAAAGTAGAGACACTTTAAACAAAAAAAGTTTTAGTTTTGAACTCAAGAAACTTGAGAATGATTAACGATCAACCGTTAAAAAATTCGAAAAGTTAAACATGAAGTTAACTAACGTCGAACATGCAGTGATTTTCATCAATAATTGCATTTCTGATAGTCTTAATCCAATATATATATATATATATATATATATATATGTTATTATATAATATATATATATATATATATATATATATGTAAATTATATTTTATATAATTATCTATGTATTTCTATTCTGTGCTTGTAAATTATGTTTCATTACTTTGGTATTATCTTATATATAAATGCAAATAGCACGTGGTTATATTTTATTATTGTTGGCTTTATAAACGACCCTGGAATTTAATTTTTCTACTTAGATTAATAAATCAGGTTATTCGAAAGCAAACTTATAAATTAAATTCCAAAAAGAAGATGGCTTCAAAAACAAGTTAGTTGTATTTTCATATTATTAAAAGAAATAATGACGAATTTGAATTAGCGGGCATATCGGAAAATAAAGAAACATGGTATGTCCTACCTGATGAGAAGAAAGATTTAAGTTTGCACGAAGCTCTATCTACGAAGCGAGCAATAATCAATACAATTGATTCTATCAAACCTATCAACGGTTATCGTACAATTTGGATCAAACTCGATGATGAATTGAGAAAGGAATATTACGACGAAGACGAAAATCTATGTTTTTTAGATAATATGTTAGAAGAAAAAATTATTGATAATAAACATAGAGATGAATCAGATGACAATTTTTTTAATGAACGAATTAAGGAATTAGAAGCTAAGCTAAGTCTGAGTGATAACTTTAAGCTGCAAGACGTTGAAAAAAAATTTATTCTGGAAAAATTCAACAAAAAGCAAAACCCTACAGAAAGAGAAATTTGAAAATGAATGTAGAAGGCATAAAATACTAAATCCTACTAATGTCATAGAAGCATTACGCTTCTTTTTATCTGGGTCACCGAATGATTGGTACGAATCAAATTTAAAAAAGATCAGCTAAACTAATTGGTCAGATTGGAGAAAGTCCTTTCTGACCATTTTTGCAGATAGAAGTTGAAAAAAATAAGAACAGCATATATTTACAAATATTTAGGTGGTTCTTTAATAGACTATGCCTTAGCAAACGAAAACCTATGTTTAGAAATTGAAATGTCGAGAATAAACATGATCGTTATGGGCCTTCCTGTAGAAATACAAAACCAACTTGATAAAGAAGAAATAACGACCATTGAGAAACTGTTCAAAGAACTAACAAAAATTGATGAATGCGTTTCTAACATCAAGCCGAAATATGACAATAAATTTTTAAGTAATGAAATACCATACAATACGGATGTCAAGACAAAGCAACTTTATCAACACAAACAGAGATATGAAAATGTATACAAAGAAATTTTGGTACCAAAATACAAAGTAGAAGCAAAGACAAATAATACTCTAAATAAAAAAAATCAAAGATATGAAAATAACACTCTAAATAAAGAAAATATTAGATCAAATTTTATCAGGTCAGAGAAGAAAGAGATAAGATGAATAACAATCACAACATGGTTAAATCAGATGAACTGACTGACAACCAATTTAATCTACAAAAGGCAGAAAAAAATAATTTAATTAAAATTTCAGAAGTCAATTTTAACGAAAATATGAATAATACAATTTGTGAAAATTTAGACCACATTGAAGATGAAAATAGAAGAAAAGATATTTTAAATTCAATAAACAAGTACAAACATATGTTTGCAAAAGATAAATATGATGTAGGAAAAGTGAAGTCTAAAGAAGCAGAAATAAAATTAACCGGAGATGAATATGTAACAGCAAGACCATATAAATGTTCCATGGTTGATGAAGAGGAAATCAAGACCCAAGTCAAGAAGTTATTAGAAGCTGATTTAATTGAAGAATCGGAATCCCCTTATACCTCGTCAGTAACTCTTGCTTTTAAAAAAGATGATGGTCGTCGGACAAGACTTTGCATTGATTTCAGACGATTAAATAAATTAGTAGTTCCTGAATGCTATCCATTCCATACTATTAATGATGTCATAGATAAAGTACCAAATTGCAAATATTTCACTGTACTTGATATAAATTCTGCATTTTGGTGTATATTATTAAAAAAGGAAGATAGAGAAAAAACTTCATTTATCATTGAGTATGGAAAATTCATGTTTAAAGTTTTACCCTTTGGTCTTAAAAATTCTCCAGCAATTTTTCAACGTATTCTATCCAATATCATAAGAAGAAATAATCTGGACAATTTTTGGATTAACTATATCGGTGACATACTTATATTTTCACGCTCTTGGGAAAAACAAATTATTCACATTGAAAAAATTCTACAAACTATCACAGAAGGTTTTAAATTAAAATTAGGAAAATGTAATTTCGCTGCTAAAACCATTAAATATCATGGAAATTTTATTCAAGAAAATAAAGTAAGAAAATTTAATCGCCATCAAGAATCTTAAGAGACCAACAGATAAAACAGGAGTTAGAAGTGTGTTAGGATCTATTAACCTTAAATAAATCGAAAATAGTGCTCAAAAATTTGAACCACTGCATAAGCTTTTGAAAAAAATGTTAGGTTTCATTGGTCCCAAGATTTTGAAAATTCTTTCAACTTGATAAAAGAATATTTATGTTCTCAGCCAATCTTAACCATTTACGATAAAGCCAAAGACACTTATATTGAAACTGATGCCAGTTATAAAGGAATGGGAGCTACTTTGAAACAACTACATCCTGATGGTATGTTACATCCTGTCGCATACTTCTCAAGAAAATTATCAGAAAAAGAAAAGAAAATGGACATCATCCATCTTGAATGCAAAGCTATCAAAGACGCAATAAAATACTGGCAATATTATTTGATTGGTCGTGAATTTGTTGTTTGTAGTGACCACAAACCTCTAGAAAATCTAAAAACTAAAAGTAGAACAGATGAAATATTGGGCGATTTAGTGCACTATTTGTCTCAATTCCACTTTAAAATTATTTATAAGAAAGGAAAGGAAAATATTATGGCTGATTTACTTTCTCGATCACCAGTATTAGAATATTGTTATAATACTCGCTGTCGACCGGTTTACGATGCGACGGATTCAATCTTCGATTGAATAAAATACTCCAAACAGTTATTAAACTTTATTTACAGAAGAAATCAACTATTATTAGTTATTAAACTTTATTTACAGAAAAAATCAACTAATCATTTATTTCCAGTAAATTCGCACTAACGCAACAATTAACTTTTAAATCTTTCAAAATCTATCGCTATGACAACGTCAACAAACAAATCAAATATCGCTTTAAATAATTCACCGAATCGCTATTCACAAAATCACGAATTTCACTAATCACGAATATCACTAATCACGAATATCACTAATCACGAATATCACTAATCACGAATATCACTAATCACGAATATCACTAATCACGAATATCACTAATCACAAATATCTTGCGACGTGCGCTTATATACTCTTCGCAAGCGTCGTTTCTAGATTCTTCCCGATGGTCCGATTCCAGCATACTCTAGAACGTTCCAGTCACTAGAACATTCTAGAATACGCTAGAATCTAGTGCGTTCGGTAGCACGGTTATAACCATATTTTAAAAATGAAGATGCAATCCAAGTTGTAAATTTAATTGAAAGACCTGAAATTCTTCAGGATCAAAATGATAACATGACTGAATTAAAGAGTACCAAGAAGATTGAAAAACGCCATGGTATTATTTACAAAAAATTGAAGGACAAATCAAGGATATTTGTTTCTGATAAATTTGGTTTAAGAATAATAAAAAAGGTACATGAATATTATAGACATATCGGAGCTGGAACATTGAAAGAGAAAATAAGACTATTTTATTATTTCAAAAACTTTGATCAACTAATTGAAAAATTTTGTAAAAGTTGCACTATATGCTTAAAGAACAAAACTAGAAGAAATAGAATCATCGGATTAATGTTAAAACTAGGACCCGCGACAGAACCATACCAAATTATGTCCATTGACACAGTTTGTGGATTTGCCGGTAATAGGTCACCAAAGAAATATATGCATATTTTGGTAGATCATTTTAGTAGATATGCTTGGATCCCCACTACAAAAAGCCAATGCGCAGCAGATTTCATAAAGTTAATTGACCCGATTGCCAAGAAAAATAATATACCAGTACACCGGAATTAATTCTACAGAACTAAAGCAGTATCTAAACAAGATGAATATTCAAGTGGTTTTTACATGCGTAGATTGCCCTCAATCAAATGGACTAAATGAAAGACTAAACCAAACACTTGTAAACAGAATAAGATGTAAACTTAACAGTGAAGAAAAACAGGCATGGTTCGTTATTGCAGACGAATGTGTCAAAGAATACAATCGGACAATTCATAGTTCCACGAAATTTGTACCGGAATACCTATTATACGGCATAAAGTCAACTATCACTCCATATGACTTACCGGAAAGCGATTTAGCTGCAGATAGAATACAAACCAGTCGAAATTCTATGCAAAATTTTGAAATTAATAAGAAAAGGGTTGACAAAAATCGTCAACAGTATGAATTTGAAGTGGGCAATCAAGTCTATATCCAGAATGGGAGTAAACTTAATAGAGGTAAAATGAACAGAATAAGAGTTGGTCCATTTAAAATTCTTAGCAAGATTTCACCGTCTATCTTCGAAGTAGACTGCGGAAAGAAGAAGAAGGAATCACATTTTTTTCACATTAATAAATTGTCACTTTCTGTACCTCAAAAAGTGACTTGAGGGAGAGAGATGTAAATTATATTTCATATAATTATCTATGTATTTCTATTCTGTGCTTGTAAATTATATTTCATTACTTTGGTATTATCTTATATATAAACGCAAATAGCACGTAGTTATATTTTATTATGGTTGGCTTTGTAAACGATCCTGGAATTTAATTTTTCTACTTAGATTAATAAAGCAAACTTATATATATTATATATGTTGGTAATTTGGTTGGTTGGACCATAATTTTTACAATATTCTATAAATTCTACCGAATGTTTGGCGTTAATATGTTTGTAGTTCGTTTATAAGTTTATTTTGAATATTAATAAACTAAACGTTCTCCAAAAAACTTTAGTGAGAAAAATCGAAAAAACGAACTACAAACATATCAACGCCAAACATTCGGTAGAATTTATAGAATATTGTAAATATATATATATATTTATATATTTATATATAGTAACATATAGATACATGTGTATATATATATAACATAACATCTTCATAAATACTAAATAATAGCTTGTTTAAGTTCCCCTTCGTCGTTCATTTTGTGCTCGTGGTAAATTTATTAAATATTTCTCTTATAATTTTTCTGATTATAATTATATTGTAAATAAATTGCTCTCTAGTTTTAATCATTAGATTAAGACGGCCGATTTAGGTTGCCTTTTCGTGGGTGCGGTGTGGATGCGGATAATGAGCAGTGCGGATGCGGGCGGTTGCGGGCGTGAACTCTGCGGATGCGGGCGGTTGTGGACGTTAACTCTGCGGATGCGGGTGGTTGCGGTTTGGAAAAATCTTCTCTGCTTGGGGCTCTAATATCTATACCTCGTGCCAGCAACACTTTCGCTATTTGATGCCTGAGTGAGTGGCTTGCCATTGTGCTTCGTCGATGACATCAGTGTTATCTACTTGCTGCAACAAACATTGTATTTCAGTTATATTGTTTTGCAGTAATTTTAGGATATCGTCTTTGTTTCTCCGGATGGCTGTTTTGTTATCAAGCAATCACTTGGCTAAAGCATTGTTGTTGCATGTTATTATGCTTTGTAGGTTTTGTAAAAACTCATCGTTGTCTTTGGGACCATTTTCGGTTAACCCTACAAAGCATATATTCGTACCAAGTAATTCATGCAATCTGTGAATTTTAATTTTTTAATGTTATCACTGACTTTTTTAAAATTTCAGCAGTGCATTTACTGCTTTCGATTGCTAAAGTTATTTATCTGCTTTAGGCTCCTAGAAGCTTTGCCAAACCAGCCCTGTTCGTCCAAACTAGACTGTTATTTAATAAAAATGTTGATTCGTTTAATGACTAACATGCATTAATATGCATTGCACAGTAATTGAGCTATATTGTTTTAACGCGTGAACATTTGTATGACAAAAAATTAACTATTTTTTATTTTGGTTCGAAATAAACAAATACTAATGCAATTGCAGCAAAAAGTAAAATTTAAATATTTTAATTAAAAAAAGGATTGTGATAACTATAATTGTGAATAGTAGAGATTAACAAGCGTTTAAATTTTAACTATATATAATACGTTGTACAGTACAATAAACTGTAGTGTTTTACAACAAATTAATACTAGTTTAGCCGATAGCTCAATCTTATTAGCTTATTAGCTCGATAGCAAATAACTAGCTCAATCGATAAATAAGACCTAAACTTTTGTATAAAATAATTTTAAAACAAACAAAACGAATCCGTATTTAATAAAAAAGCATATTTTGAATGTAGCATGAAGTTTTAT